CTTGACAAGAGAGAAAGTAAAAGAAATTGTTTGTTCAAGAGTCGAAAGAAGAAGAAGACAGGTGAATTGATTGATGATGATCTCTCTATCTGCAGAGTACCAAATCAATCGAACCGGTTTTGTTGCCAACCCATCATGTCCGATCCGGTTATTAAAACATTTTGAACCGGTATAATCAATTAACCATTTAATTGAAACTTGAAAAATAAAAATCAAACAAATGATGAAATAATCTGCAATACAAAGATAGTTCGAGGATAAAAACACCAAAATAAACTTTAACTTCATCAACAATCAAACAAGAAATCAAATTAAACTTGTAATTCTGCTTCTTCTCTTGAACCACGAGGAACCGGGACCAAATTTGGAAAATAGGTGCAATGCAAAGGCCAATGATCAACCACAGACTCTATTTTGATTTTGCTTATCAACTTATTTTCCCCCATAACATAGATCCAAGCCCGGCCAGTCTCATCGCAACAACACACGACAAGCCTTTTATCATCGATGAAGTAACTTGGATGAGAGTCGGATCCAGTCTGTACCAAATCCGGCAAGTTAGGAACTGACACTTGCATGAAAGTCATCCAAACCACATCATTAATATCATCATTGTTAATCTTGTTKTTGGTCACCCAAATCTCAATCTTCTTTGTCACGTGGCACTGCTTTAGCAACGATAACCGATCTTCCTTAAAAACCCCGAGGACAAGAGCATCGCAAGGATGTTTCTTACCACATGGTAGATGATAAACGTTGAAGGATCTTCTGCTCGAAACATCCCACACATGTAGGTGGTACAAGGGATCAGTCTTGTCATGATAAGCAGCCCAATACAAATTTCCATTCAACGATACACCAACTCTTAGTAACCAAGAATAATCTTTATTTCCCTTATCACTACCATTAGATTCCAACTTGCGCTCTGTCCACATATCGGTGGCAAAGTCATAGATTGTCCAATATGTTTCAGGGTCCAAACCGTACAATACCTTGTTGTAAGTCGCAGTGGTCTTGTAACCACTTTCCTTATTACTATCATAACCTATGCCGTGGAAATTATAAGCAGGTTGGCTCTTGATTACTCTGGTCTGTTTCAACCACGGGTTCCAAACCGCGGCTCCTTTATCCATACCCAATAGCAAGAACTCATTGCAATCAATCAATTGTTTAGGTCTTTGAGATTCTAAACCAGGAATCTCTAATGTTAACTCACGCACCACTATCTCGGGATCGATGCTTACCGAATAAATCTTTGATCTGGTCGTCAAGACGAATCGAAACGTCGACTTGTGGTTGTTGAGAAACCTCTTGTCGTCGAAGAGAGCGTTCCATTTGTTGGAAACGGTTCTGAAGCAAACAAGAGATTTTGGAYGGACACGGGAGAGTATCTCTTCGATCATCTCCCATGGAAGCTTCTCCTCCTCATGCGCCGTTCTCACTTTCTTCATAATTATTTCGGGTTTCAACAAATGCTCGTAAACTATATATATTCAATAGATTTTACAACACAATAATTTTTTTTTTTTAACACACAACACAATAATTTGTTAAGATATTCACATCACATCACATGTGATAGTTGTTCATGAGTATGACACGTGTAATTTCCCCCTGCTCTTTTTCTTTTAAATTTAAGTTTCTTGT